CAGTGGGTATATGCCGCGGTTGCTCAGAGCCACCGCGGCATATACCCCTGTAACTTCTGAAATTCTCTGACTGACGGAGAAGTTCAGAAGTTACTGCGGTATATGCCGCGGTTCGCTGAGCAACCGCGACATATACCCCTGTAACTTCTGAAATTCTCTGACTCAGTCAACCCCTGCAATAAATTGGCAGGGGTATATGCCGCAGTTTTCCAGAGAACTACGGCATATACGCTGTTATTTAATTTTTTTTTTCAGACGTGGCGTCAAAGGGGATGGTTTCTATTTACAAAACTGCCACCGCGCACCATTATGCTGCGGTTTCTAGTGAACCGTGGCATAATGTGCGCTGTAGAAACCCAATTTTTTACTAGTGGGTTTTCTTATTATTCTTTTTAAAATTGGTTTATAAAAATTTAAAAGCTCTCAAATGAAAGGGTATTTCCAAAGTTTGTTTAGTCTCCCAATGTTCAAGCAACTAGGATCTCAAGAAACATCTAAAAAGAGAAATATAATATTGTTCTTTATTTGATACACAATATATGTTTGCACTACTATTACAAAATATTCACCTTATCAACACTTTATGTATAAAAAAAAACATTGTTTCGAAAGTTGGAAAAAAAAAATTGTACACGTTTATAAAATTTATACGTAAATAAGATATTTCAGAGCTTCCTGCTAGATTAGTGCCTTATGAGGTGGAGAGACCGAGGAATTGGTATAGCCTGTGTAAAAGAAAAATAAAAAAAATCCTTTCCTTTAAAATTTAAAAATAAAAAAATAACTTGTAAAAAATAATAATGTAATAGAAAAGTCAAAGGATTAAAATTAGTACCTTCAACTTTTCATTGTGTTATTCCCAGAATATTCTTCTTCGTCGTCGTCGTCCTCCTCTTTATCTTATTCTTCATCATCTTCTTCTTGAAGATTGTAAACATATTTGATGTGTGATATTTTGTACCGATCCTTTCCAACTCCTGGCTTGAATCTTTTCCATAATTGAGGACAACCACTCATGTCTAATTTTTCAAGATTTTTGAGCTGATGCATGTTGTCAGGCAGTGACAACAGATTTGGACATTTGCAAATAGCAAGATATTTGAGATAAATTAGAGTTGGTAGCCAATCGGGAAGCTCCTTAAGATTGATGCAACCCATAATAACTAAACTTTGTAAAGAGTTTGCAGATCCTTGAATCCACTGAGGCAACGTCACCAGTTGCGGCAAGCCTCCAAGATAAACAAACTTTAACCTTGAATCGGGGATTTGACTTCCAACACCCATTGCCAATTCCAACTTGTCGCACTTACATATAGCCAAAACATTTATATTTCTAATGGCGTGAAACGACACCGACTTTAGACTTTCGCATCCATATAAGGATAATTTTTTTAGGGTGGATAGTTGTATACCATTGAACAATGACTCCAAATTACGACAATAACTAGTATTTAAATTTTCTAAAGAAGTCAAAACTGCAATGCCTTTGTCTGGAAAATCAACTTGTTTGGTGGTTATAAAAAGATTCCCAAGGCTGATTAGATTTCTCATTCCTTTGGGTAGTTTTTGTAGCTCTACACATCCTAAGAGATTCAATGTTTGTAAATTTTGAAGTTTGCAGACTGAATCAGGGAGTCTCCTTAGTTTTTTACTAAACTGGAGATTAAGATATCTTAAATGTTTCAACTTTCCAATAGAGTAAGGCAAACTCTCGAATTCAGATGAATATAATTCTAAAATCCTCGAGTATTTGCATCTTGACACCAATGTAATCAAGAAAGCTTCATTGTTCATTTCCTGCGGAAGATACACACTTCTTAGACCTGTGTGACGAACATTTTAAGTTGGCCAATCTTTTCTTTCACGAAATCTCAGAACATCTGTTTTTGGCACCCTTACACGAACATGAGTACCATCTATGGCCCCTAAGCAATCCTAAACATTGAATTAAGAAGTCATCATACAACTACATAACATTAAGGGGTGTTTCATAAAATTACATCATAAGTGATAGATTCAAATGATTACCTTAAAGTAAGGATAAAATCGATTGTTGTTCAAGACATATGGATGAACCTCATCTCCTGAAGGTTGAGTTGAAAATTCTGATTCTAGACTTAAAATACATTCCAACACATTGTGAAAGTGTTTGCTAACCGTCGCCCCAGATCGATGAAAGAAAAATGCGACACTTCGATTCTTAACATTATGTCCAATTATATGAAGAAATTGAGCTACTTGTTCCTCCACTGTAGAGTGAATGGCGTCTTTAACTAACCCAGTTGTTCTTAGTCTCTCACAAAGATTAATAAATGCCTCTGGACCCATCCGAATAATGTCACGACATCAATTAGTATGCATCAGGTACGACATTAACTGCTGCCTGTGATGGTCTTTGTCGGGAAGGAAATTGCTTACACTACTTGGATCGCTCGAGCCCATATTGAATATATTTAAGGCATGACAAACAATGCATAACATTGTTAGTGCAGCCAGTGAGGTGGTTATTTGTAATTGTTGATGTAGCATTGCGACTATATTGAAGTCTACACCAACCACATCATCATCTATATCTTCACTGTCCAAATAAGACAAATCTAATTCTTCTTCCATCTATATTTACTTACAGAAATATACATACTATTAAAATCATGCATTCATATATTCATTAAACATAATTCATCAATATATTTATTGAACAAAATTCATATATACATTAATTCATTCATATATTCATTAAACTTAAACAAAAATAGATAACGTAACTCAATAAACTCATTCATAGATTTAATAAGAATTAACATTATGTAACACTTACATGTTGAAGACTTATGAAAATTTGAAGTTAGATGAAGCCAAAAATTAGCACTGGACCTCGAACCAATATCACTCACAGATTGTCCAAGATGCCCTTAATCTCAAATTATGTTCTCCAATTATTCTGAAGATGCAATGAATTTTGGAAGACTACATTCACCCTAAACCAAAACAACATACATGAGAATTTTATATCATACTACAACAAATGATAAATTCATAAGTTTGTTAAAATGAGAATCTACCTTCAACCAAGTCAAGACACATAAACAAGCAATTCAACACTTTGCTTCAAAATTCCTTCAATCTTCCACCTCCTATATATTCATCATCATCTTTGTAGCCACACAAAAAACCACCACAATTTCCACCGAAACAAATAATCTCCTCATACTTCGACCACCTTCACAATATGAACAAACATACATCATTAACTACTTCTCCTATCAACAAACAAAACTCCAAATCTAAAAATCATACAATACCAACTATAGATAAAACCCTTGATGATCTTCTTTGTGCTTCCCTACCCTAGACATCACCTCAAATGCTCCACCTGCTGCCCAGTGTTCAATTCCTTCACGCTTGACATAGCTTCATCACGTTGAGAACACCTCCACCAGATCCACTCAACACCTGCATCACAAACAAAGGGTTCATTACAAGTGCATCCATTTCAACCACCTCCTCCACCTCGTACACTGCTCCAACGACCATTGAAATCATTGTTGCATCCTCCACCATAACAGACAGCTTCATCTTCATCATCATGCACCAACGTTGGTTGCATCGTCCATCATGACCAACAACTTCGTCTTCATTGTCAACGACGCTACATCCTCCATCATTAACGAGAGCTTCCTCCACTACTTCAATGGCGATGCCATGGTTGCTGCATCCTCCACCTTCATGCTTCCAGCACCAACCTCCGAAGTTGACGCCACACTACATCGTCCACCATTGTCACATGCATACACCACCAAGCTTGCAACCTCCACCGTCGTCAACATGCCGCGATAACCACCAACCTTGCAACAAAAATCCTCCATGCCAGCCCAATACAACCATTGGAACCGATTACGAGGTCCAACGCACGAACATTGTAACCGAATACCACCCACTGAACCAAATAATCTACGCGTGTAATCGGATACAACTTCAATGTAACTGAATACTTCTCCACATTGTGCTTCTTCATGCCGCTGTAACCACAGGTACTCTTGTAACCGAATACGGTGGCCTGTTCATCGTCTTCTCCAGCTTCAAACAGTCGTTCTCTTCATCAATGACCTCCTTTCTTCATCTTCCAGCAACCTCATCTTCTCATCTACCACTAACCCTGCAAACATTACAGAAACAGAATTGTCTAAACAAATACACTCATATGGATCCTCACCTGAGCTTTCTCTTCTTTCTCGGCTAGCCAACGCGAGCTTTCTCTTCTTTCTCCTCTTCCGCACTCAACGCATGCACACAACACAATGCTCTCCTTCTTTTGGCTTAATGAACACAACGGCCAAATACCAAGCACATATTAAAGCTTGTTCTACGGTCAAAAAGCATTCAATATGTCCCAGTGTATTGTCAATGGTGTAGGAATCTTTTATGTGTGCAATGTTGTATGTGAAGGACCGAATCTGCACTGTTTTATGGCTGTGTGAAGCAACTTCATAGGCTCGGGAATCTCTGCTTTAGCACAAAAGTCGTAGCTCCTCACAGTCATACTCATGATAGCACAGTGAACGCTGTGTATTTTAAATATGCAGTGCATTTCAATTTTTTAATTGTACGTGTATTGCTTTGTAATATATTTATAACAAGAGGGGCATTTCAAACAAACTGTATGTCATCCCTCCAAATCTCTTCAGATGTGCAGGTGACTGAACAATACATGAATCCCACAATTCGCTTCAATTCCATCCGCGCTAATCAACTCAAGTGAATACGTAAAAAGCGTAATTGATCGCTCACCAATTACCGTAAACAGTATAATCAGCGGAAGTGAACATAGCCTAATGTAGATTCACTAATTAAAAAAGTATAAAGTTTTTTCTTCAATAATATTTTTCTATGAAGTGACTTAATTTCATAGAATTTGATGAGAATATCTAAGGTGTTTTTGGTGTTAAGATTTGGAAAATTTTCAAAGTTTTGGTTTTTGAGATTTAATGGTTGGAATGAACTCTTTATATCACCAAATGACTATTGTAAAAATCTTGGTGTAAGTAATTTTTCAATTTTATTGATTTTTAAGCTAACCAAGTGTGATATTGAAACTTGACCTACTATAAATCTACTAGACTAAAAGAGGTAACTTGTGAAATAGTGTACTAAATAATTCCCAAGAAAAAAGAGATCGATTATTGATGATCACGCTTAAATATCAATTACTTTCTAGCTAAAACTTTCTTATACATACGGTTTCATACTACCACACTATATGCACTAATACAATATTATTATAATGACAATAACAACAACCAATGGTTGGATATCAGAATAGTCGCACAAGTACTAATAATTAAAATAAAAGAAACAAAATAAATAATAGACAAAAAAAATAACTCTAAAAAAAATTACATACCTTTATGTATAGCCCGAAAGAGAAAACAATAACACCATATCACTTGGAAATAAAATACAAATACAAAAACAACCTTAGAGAAAAAACTAATTTCACTCTTATTTTTCTCGCAAATACTAAAGCAATATAAAAGAAAAAGAAGAGACGTTGAAATGAATTTTTACAAAAACACTTTACTCCTTTTATAACATAAAAAAATAAATCCTAAGATAAGTTTAAGTTTGAACTAACGTGAGACTTCTGAAGGTAAGTTCTCATGTGTAACCCGTGTTATGAGGAGGAGAGGCCAACAAATTGGTATAACCTGTGTAAAGAAGAAAATATTTTTAGAAAATTAAAAATAAAATTAAAAAATAATAATAATAAATCCAAAAGGTTACCTCTAACTTTTGATTGTGTTATTCCGATAACTCTTGTTCATTTTCTGAGTCATCATTTAAAACATGTTTAATGTGTGATATCTTGTACCAATCCTGTCCAACTCGTGGTTTGAATTTTTTCCATAATTCAGGACAACCAGTCATGTCTATTTTTTGAAGATTTGTGAGCTGATGCATGCTGTCAGGCAGTGACAACAGATTTGGACAACTGCAAATACTAAGCAATTTGAGATAAACTAGAGTTACTAGCCAATCGGGAAACTCCTTAAGATTGATGCAACCCTCAATAAGTAAGAATTGTAAAGAGTTTGCAGATCCTTGAATCCATTGAGGCAACGTGATCAGTTGCGGCAAGCCTCCAAGATAAACAAACTTTAACTTTGAATCGGGGATTTGGCTTCCAAGACCCATTGACAATTCTAACTTGGGGCACTGACAGATAACCAAACTCTTTAAATTTGTAATGGCGTGAAACGGAACCGACTTTAGACTTTCACATTCAAATAAGGATAATTTTTTAAGAGTGGATAGTTGTATACCATTGAACAATGACTCCAAATTATGACAATAACAAATATATAAATTTTCTAAAGAAGTCAAAACTGCAATGTCTTTGTCTGGAAAATCAACTTGTTTGGTGGTTATAACAAGATTCCGAAGGCTGATTAGATTTCTTATTCCTTTGGGTAGTTCTTGTAGCTCTACACATCCACTGAGATTCAAAGTTTGCAAATTTTGAAGTTCTCAGGGAGTCTCCTGAGTTTTTCACTACACTGGAGATTAAGATATCTTAAATGTTTCAACTTCCCAATAAAGTAAGGCAAACTCTCCAATTCACATGAACATAATTCTAAAACCCTCAAGTATTTGCATCTCGACACCAATGTAATCAAGAAAGCTTCATTGTTCATTCCCTCGGGAAGACACACACTTCTTAAACCTTTGTGAGGAAAAGCTTGAGCAAGCAAATTATTTTCCATAAAGGCTAAATGTTGGGCATTCTCAGAATTTTTTTTATTGCGGAGATCTATTCTTTCAAACTCACCTTTTGCAATATAAGTTGCAAGATCATGCACCAAATCATGTAACGTAAATGAGCAATCGCTCCCATAGTCAAGATAATCTGAAAGAAAAGATCTTGACCATAGCTCATGCACAAGATGATTGGCAACCTCCATCATTGATTCACTTTCCTTTGGTGGCGGAAGAAAACCAAGTGCTTCCCATAGGGTAGAAATGTGAGAACAATGAATAGAAGTATCCTCTGGGAACAGGGAGAAAGAAGCAAAACAAGGTTTTAAATATGAAGGGAGTTGATCGTAACTTAGTTTGAGAGCTGGCAAAATGCCTCTTTCATTTTGTTGTAAATTCCAAATCTCATTGTCTCTTATAGACTCCCACTCTTTCTTATCAAACCTTGAGAACAGTGAGCTCCCCACTGTTTTCACTGCTAAAGGTAACCCACCACATTTTTCAACTATTTCTTTTCCAATCTCCAACAGTTGCGGATGTTTTTTTTCTTCTCCATCATCAAAAGCATATTTCACAAATAGAGAAAGAGAATCCTCTTCAGAGAGACATCCAAGAAGGTACAAATTTGATGATTTATTGCGCATTGTGGCAGTTACTGTACGGCTACGAGTGGTCACTAGGACTTTACTCCCTTCAACATTCAAATCTATTATTTCCTTCAACTCATCCCATTTTTCAGGATCCTCGTTCCACACGTCATCCAACACAAGCAAGAACTTCTGACCTTCAAGTGTCTCTCTCAAACGAATTTGAAGTTGCTCCGTCTCAAAGTCATTGAAGTTTTCCCGAGTTGGGTTTGGAGCGGAATTGAGGATTTTAATGAGCACATTCCTAAGTTCAAAATCATTAGAGACACAGACCCACATCTTCAACTGAAAACATTCATCAATGTTTGTGTCATTGAAGACCAACTTAGCAAGTGTGGTTTTTCCCAAGCCTCCCATTCCCACAATGGAAATAACAGAAAGACTTTGACAATCACCATCTTGCACCAGAAGTTTTATTATTTCATTCCTATCATGTTCCCTTCCTGTAACATTGGAAGGGTTTACATGAGAATGAGTCATTTTCCTCACGTGCACGACACGTGTATCTCGGTCAATGACTTGAAGGGCAAACAGGGTTCTTTGAGATGCAAGTTTGGTCAATCTGGTGTTGATGTCTTGAATGTGATGCGCCATTCTAAGACGATAAACAGCAGGATTACTTTTCGAGAAGAAACGACTTACCTTTCTTGAGCAGCTACCATAGGTTTTGACAACATGCTTCCTTAATGCTTCGCACTCAAAATCATCGACTATGTCTTCAGCATCACAAAACACACGCTTGACCTGTCTCAGCCATTGGCTCAGCGCACTGCTCTGTGGAGTCTTTTGCTCAGCATCTGAGAGCACACCTCTGATGAGTGCCATACTTTCTGTCATCTGCTGTAGCTCGCTGTGTACACCAAGCGCCAAAGAAGCTTCTTGAACGACAACAGTGGCAAGCTTTCCTAAAACTGATTCTGCGAAGCTGAAAAGAAGTGATTCGGCCATGAGTTTAGGAAGACAAGAATGCAATTGGAAATTTTTTTACTATAATAGTTGCTTGATGAATCATTTCAAAGCATTATGGTTTTTACAAAAGTATGCTGCAAAACATCATTTGTTTTAATAAAATACGTGTAATAATTGAAATGTAGTCAGTGGAATTGTAATTTTATATATACGATGAGCTGGATTCTCGGTGTTTGGTATATTGTATTCGCACAGAGTTAAAGAAATATAAAAGATTGCAATTTGACATATAAAATCATTTGTAGTAGCTGTGCCTGGATTTCCCCGTGGAGATCGAGAATAGCGCAGTTATTGGTTCCACTAATTTCTTTTAATTTTTTTTAATCAATTTCTGTGTGAATGTATGACTTTTACAATAACATTATGCACCAAAATCAATATACAAGGAGAGCAAGCACATTACATAAATGAGAGTCCCCCAATCAGTCAAAATCTATATACAACAATGTATAAATAATTTTATATTATTATTCTTTAAATAATTTATAAATAAATGTTTCAGATAGTATATATTTCTATCATATATCTTACCGAATTTTTTTTATATATTATATAGACTTCTCATTCATTGGTGTAAGATTCTCTTATCTCTACACAAAAGATAATAATTTCAAGTAATATATAAAAACACAAAAATGCAAAGTATTTGATTCAATTAAATTCTTACTATCTTCCAATTAGTTGTAATTCGAACATACAAAAAAATGTATTAAAGACTTAAAAATGATTATAATAAATCAAGCTAATTTACAAAATAGACTCATCATCAATTATCTACAAATTATTGTTTAATTAATTATTTTTTATTTCAAATTATTTAAAGTAAATTCTTAATTAATTTGTTAGCGATCTTACTATTAACCAATGTTGATTTTGTGACATTCCATATTAATAATATAAAATTACTAAAAAAGACATCATAATTAAATAGTTGAAAGACTAGCTAACTACAAACGAATATGTATATAAAGCTATTACAGGTATTTCATACACTCAAACGAAAGTGTAATACTGATTTTCAAGACTAATAAAATAAAAAGCAAAAATTGTCTACTTTTAAGTTTCAACATCACTCTCACCTGTACTGGATCAACTAGAACATCTTTATCTACTCACACCATTAAGGTGATCATTGCAATGAAGAAGGAACACACAAACAACAAACAGAAAGGAAAGGGTAAGCTAATGTACCATAAATATATAACATTTTTATATAAATAAGTATTAACACAGATAATTCAATAAATCCTAAGACATACAATCATTCATTCTAGACTTGACCATCCAAATACATGTATTGATCTCAAACTCTTAGGGGACCTACACATGTGCATGGTGTAACATCTCACCCACATCAAGCTCTATCACACACCAAGGTTAATCCGTTAAACATCTATGATCAAGAAACAACTACTAAACTAAGGAACTCCTGCTACTCTCTAGACATACCTCACCCTTCTCTACACTTGAGATTGGATGGTTAATAAGAGTGTCAGGATCATTCCCCAAATTCAGGAGCATCCTACATCAATACATCACACTACTAAACAACAACAAGAGCTTTTCCTTGGAAATTCTTTTCACAACATCTCTTTAACCATAATTAAACTCATGTTTAAAATCCATAAAGCATCAACAGTTCTAATTAAGTATACATTGAATATATATATATATATATATATATATATATATATATAGATATATAATATATATATATAACCCAATCCATACTAGTCCATAACATGAAACCATAGAAAATAAGCACACAAATTCACTACAGGGCGCGCATCAGCGAGCTAGGCCTCTCGCCCAGGGAACTAAGGAGAAAAATAGTATAAACCTATAGGAAGAAGTGACACTCAGCACCACCAAACACCATTCAACTCATAAAAAACAGAAGCTCACTAGCCAGAGTAGCGCTCAACGGGCCGCTCAGCACCAAGAGCCTAGTGACTCTTTGTCTTTGAAACAGTCAACGCCACACAGTACCCCTCAACGCACACAAGAAACCATAAAATTTGATTCTTGATATGATTACACTCAAGACCTATCCAAATGACCAAATTGGTATTCTTGACACAAACTACTAATAACGTGTTTAAACATCGAATTGAATTCCAATTAACTCAATTGGCCAATGACTTAGTTCATCTGATCAAACTCAAACTAGTCACAAAGCAAACAGTAGATTCATTATACCAAAGACCAGATTGCAGCAAAATAAGTAGGTAATCAAGTCCTAAATGACATAAACACAAACTCCTAAAGTTAAGCTCAATCAATATATAATCCTCATAGAATTTCACTTGTCAAACCACCAATTCTAGACTAATTTCCAATTAACTTTCAAATCTATTACCAAACCAAAGTTCAACCTTCAAAAGACCAATCAAACAGAAATTCTATCATTCACATATCATCAAAAACTAATTAAACTTTAGCAAGCTGTCTACACAAGAATTCATCGTACCATACTAGAAATTTCAACATGTCACACCATATATTATCATAGAATTCAAAACAAATTTCAATAATGATTCCATACAATTATAACATACCAACTCAGGTTACCAAGCTACTATAACTTTAGAAGCAAGGTATTTAGCTTCCCTTATATGATAAAGGACCAAACCACTCTAGAAAGCCTAAAACAGTTCCACAAGCACAAGAAGTCTTATTTACTCTTATGAACCACAAAAACACGATCAGGGTACACCGTTAGGATTACTAATCAACAAAGAGTCTTATAGAAGACTTAAATATCACAGGCAAAACACAAAGGGCTAGCATGCAAGGAAAACGAAACTAACCAAAGGAAGGAGTAAAAAACCAACTTACTCTATCTGAGAAATGATTGGTCTAAAGAAATTGAAGAGCTCGTCGCCAGGATCAATCCTATGGTCTCAATTATTCAATCAAACGAACAAAGGATAAGAACTCATAGAAAGAAGCCAAAGAGCTCTAGAAAAGTAGTTTATCGAAATATAATATGTTTTAAAATAATAAAACTGGTTAATAATGAAACTATTTATATTAAAACTATTTAATATTAAAATAATCGAGTCTCACAACTTTTAAACCAATATCACTTCTAAAATATCATTTTCTAGGTTTACATATATTCTTAATTAAAATAATATATTTTTAGATTATTCATAATAAATTGAATCAAAGTACATTTTCAATTAAATTATATTATGTTTAATCATTTTTATTCTTTTATTTCTTAACCAAGTAAAAAGTTAATTAATCAAAGTACATTCTTAACTAACTATTGTTAAAATTTGTATCATTAATCCAAATACATTCTCAATTGGTAACAAAAACTCACTCAATTATATGAAAGTGCCTAACCTATATTAAAGTATATTCTCAATCAAAATTAAAAACCTTTAGATCATATCGTCAACAAGCATATAGATCAAAAGGCCTCGCTAGTTAGTTATGATATAAAAACCTTTAGGCTTTGACTATTTGTAAAACCGAAGCTCAAACACATTTAGGCTTAGATTTTAAAAATAAATAAAGCCTAAATCTTTCTCAAAAAATAAAATAAAATAAATAATAATTATATTTTTGAATTAATGAATCTAAGTATTGGTTCTTAGACAATTGAGGCCTAAACTTATATATTCTTAAGTTTTTATGAGAATCGAAGCCTAAACATTCTTAATAATTTTTAAAATGTCACCACATTTTGGTAGCCTTTGGTTTTCTTGAATCCAAAATATATTGGGCAAAGTTAAATGGAATTTTTGCACTAATAGATCATAAAAGAAAAATAAAAGTAGTTCTAAATAGATTTGCAAGTTTTGAAGTCATGATACAATTAAAACTACAACTAATGGTCGTGATCTCCCACATTACTGGTATATGTTAGGTAAACTTAAATGTAATAGAATTAAATGGCTTGTTTATTTATTTAAAAGTTGTCACGCAAGATTCAGTAGGATAATGTAGTGGTTAGACAATAATAGGAAATAATTGTGTCTTGATTTGTAGATTTTATGGTTATGGAGATGAAAAGCCAAGATGAGTCTATAAATTGTAAGTATTTAATTGACACACAACATAGCAAGATACTAGAAGCATACTCAGAAAATATAAGTGAGTGTCATTTTTCTAATAAATTGGCATCAAAGTTGAGTCCGAGTGAAATAGAAAATGTTTGAGAAAGAAGCAGTGAGAGACGATCAGTCTAGCAAATTGTTTTTCCCTGCCCTAATTGACAAAGAAAGTCAACTATGATAACTAAAGTGTGCAAATGAGAGCTTTTCTTGTATCGCAAGATGTGTGGGATGTAGTGCAGAATGGATACGAAAAGCCAATAGAAGATGTAGAGTAGACGATAGCCTAGGTTGTTGCATTGAGAAGATTGTTTGTGAAGGATCAATAAACTCTGTACATATTATACCGATTGGCTTTGAGAAGATAATGAACGTTAAATTTTCAAGAGAAGCGTGGTAGATTTTGGAGAAAGTATACAAAGGAGATAATTGTGTCAAGCAAGTCAGACTTCAAATGCTTAGAGGTGAGTTTGAAAGCCTGAAAATGGAGGAAAGAGAATTAGTAACCAAGAATATATCTCGGGTGGAAGCGATGACAAATCAACTCAGCAAAACTGGAGATGAGTTGTCTGTTCGCCGAGTTGTGGAGAAAGTCTTAAGGTCATTGACTAAGGACTTTGAAAGTATAGTTTGCGCCATCAAAGAGTCCAAGGATTTGACAATGCTCACAGTTGAAGAGCTTGTCGGGTCACTGGAGGCACACGAGACGTGAAAGAAGGAGCTCGGAACACCCAAGGCCGACTTCTTGGTGGAAGAGGACGAGGTGATTTTGAAGATGGTGAAGAGCAAATTGGTCTGTAGAACTAGCAAGGCCATGGACAAGCGAGAGGCCGTAGAGGTCGGTCAAGTAACTCTGAAGTGGGATGTTTTAAGTGTAGAAAACACAATCACTTTGCAAATGAATGCAAGTCGGCCAAATGTTACTATCGTGGTAAGGTCAAACATTTTGCATGAGAGTGTCGATCTGAAAGTGGAAAAAAGCAGACAAATCTCCTTACTGAATAAGCTAAAGAAGAAATAGGAATCTTGATGATGACAAGGAGCTCGAACGTTGAGTTGCCGAGTTGGAGACTGGATGTCAAGCTACGTGCAAGTTGTATGATGTCCAAGAGATCGGAAGTCGAGTTATGTACGAACTAGAGATTAGATTCCAAGCATAAGGACAATTCGGCATGTTTGCCGATCAACAAGGAGAGCTTGGCAACATTGCCAACTAGAAAGGAGAGCTCAACAAGTTTCTCAAATGGCAAGAAGAATCCGGGAAAAATGTCGAGCAACAAAGAGAACTTGAACAAATAGTCCAGTAGCAAGGACAACTCCACAAGAATATCGAGTATCATGGGAAACTCGACAATGCAGCCAAGTATCAAGATACCTCGGGCAAACAACTTAGTAGCCCGGAAAGGTTCAATGAAAGCTTAAAAGAACCAATGGGAAGCTTGGACAGTCCGTGGAGGTGCCTTGCCAAATTGTTGAAGAGCTTGGTGCAGAGCTTTGCTGAAAGCTCGGTTAAGAGCTTAGTGCAGAACTCAATAATTAGCCCAGTGTAGAGCTTGGTGGATAGATCAGTGCAGAGCTTGGTGGAGAGCTCGGTTAAGAGGTCAATGCAAAGCTCTAAAGAGAGTTAAATGGAGAATTTTCTGGAGAACTTGGTATAGAGCTTAGACGAGCAAATGAAGAGCTCGGTTAACACAATAGACCAAGTGGGAAGCTTGGATGTCTCTATGTCGAGACCAAGTAGCTCGGCGAGAATGAGACCAACCCAATTAGCTTGAAGGGACCTCTACATAGCTCGGAGGAGAATGTAGGAAGCTCGATGGAACCTAAGGTAAGCTCGGTTAACTTACTGAGCAAAGATTTGGGAAAGGAGGAAATTGTAGAAGGTGTATATTTGGCACTGAGTTTAGTACAATTATTGAAAGAAGAAATTGATTTGAATACCGTAGAAAGCATTTACCAGACCCAACAAACCTCGCCGCTAGAAATTTTAGGTAGTCCAACTGAGAAAGCATTGCTTTCTTGGGCTGTTATGGATTTAGGGATGGACATTGATGTTGTGAAGCAGCATTGTGAAATCATTCATGTGAAGACGTTTAACTCTAAGAAAGAGAGAACTACGATTTTGATAAGGGAGAAGAGAGGTTGCAAAAGGATCGTTACACATTGGAAGGGTGTTGTTGAGATTATATTGGCTATGTGTTCAAGTTATTATGGCCAAACAAGGGAAATCATGATCTTTAATAATGAAGAAAGGGTTTAGATTGAGAACATTATAATGGCTACCAAAAGTTTGCAATGAATCGGCAGGCCTGCAAAAAGATTGAGAGACAAAACAAACATTGTTGGGAATACTTGGACTGAAAAACCCTTATAGGCCAGGAGTTGAAGCATCAGTTGAATCATGTAAGAATGTTAAAGTGAAGATCAAGATAATCAGGGAGATAATGTGCACACAATGAAGTACAAGTTGGCCATACACAAAGCGACCAAGACAACCATTTTGAAAGGAAAGAGCAAGTCCCATAGTTAATAAGAAGTCAGCCAAAAGCATTTGAGAAGTAGGCCAAAGCAATGGAGAAGTCGACCACGAGGAGTCGACAAATGAAAAAAATAAGTCTGAAAGTAGGAAAGAATGATGAAAGTCACGAGAAACATTTAAGTTTAAAGGAGAGTTTTATTAAATAAACTTAAATATAATCGAATTAAATGGGTTGTTTATTTGCTTAAGAGTTGTCAGTTTTAGAATGCAAGAGTCAACAGGGCATTGTAGTGATTATTAGACAATAATAAGAAATAATTGTGTCTTAATAATATATTTTATGGTTTTAGAGAAGAGAAGCCAAGATAAGTCCATAAATTGAAAGTGTCTAGTTGACACACAACATAATACCAAAAGCACATTAAAAAATTTATTAATGAGTGTCATTTTCCTACCAATCTACCATATCATCTCTACTATCAAGAGTAGCTAACATAAGATTCTTCAAATAGATGAACTGGAAAATAATCTTCAAATCACAACATTTAGGTAAAATTTAAACTGGGCAGAAATAAAATCAAATGTCAACTCAATAACTCACCTCCATTGCAGGTTCACAACTCCTGAATTATGTCTCTACTTCTATTTTCCCGCAAGTCTTGAGCAGACAACTTAGTGAAACCTCACAAATAAAACCTTCTCCAATTAAAATGTGAAGTGATAGGAACAAGTTAGAGAAACCAATATATATTAATTAATATTATATATCAATTAAACTTTGGAATAGGATACAAACTGGTTTTCATTCTAGGTATATCTTTGTAGGCATATATTGAAATTCATTAACATTTTAATTAAACCATGTTAGTTTTTTCTGTGTGTGATTCTTTTTTATCCTTGCTTGTGACTTTCAAGTCGTTCTTTTAGGGAGTTTTTTCTATTGTCATTTCTTTATTTGTCTTCATTTGTATGGTTTATTCGTTTGTATGCTAGATGGTATCAGGTTTGTTTGTTTGAGCTATTTCCATTACAAAAATGGAATAGGAATTTATTTTATAGAATCTACATTGACAAAGTTAGTTTTTGTTAAGTGCGTATTCATGAAATTCTATATTGAATGTATAAAAAAAAATGAGAAGTTGATTTGAGGAATTATATATGTCGTGGATGAAAAACTTAATTGAGTTTGTTTTGGCTCGTTGACCTGGTTGGCATACCATAGCCCCTCATCATCCAATATAATTGCAGTAAAAGGGTTTTAAAACAAAATTGTACATAAAAATTAACAGTGAATATATTTATATATGATTGATTCTAACACCCCAACCACCAATCTACTAGACTACAAAAATCATTATTGGGGTATTTTATCCAATTAAATACATGAGTACAAGTAGGAAGTGCATAAAAAAATTATTATGTGGCGTCATATTTGGCCCCATTTTATAAACAGTATTGTTTTGTTTACTGACGAATTGGTTTTGTATTACAAAGACTCCATATTTCTCTTGAAATCATCGACAATATAGTACAGTGGACATCTTGTCTTTGAGAAATTTCATGAAACCCAAAGATACATAGTAACAACAAAATTACAAACTTTCATTTGGGTTGAACATATGTAGTGTCTTCAACATAATATCTGTCTTTCTATGATGCTATCTCAACCTTACAAAGATGCATGTAATAAAGTACCTTGTTGACTTTTCTTAAATCAACTGGTTCAACTCAAAACCATCGAATAAATAATTATTTTCATCGCCAAGGTAAAAAAAATAGGTATATGTAACATCACCCCATCAATTTTTGTCTTCAAAATAGAGTTTTCCTACGTGAAGAGCTCTCCAATATTGACTAGACTTTTCACAGATAAATATCATAATGACAAGATAAGATTCAGAGAAAAAACCATTCCTGAGGTTGTCACTGAATTCTTGTCTGCCTGAAGTCATGGCCGAATCACTCATTGTCGCGGTTGCAGAATCACTTATAACGAAGCTCGCTTCTCGAGCTGTCGAACAAGCTTCTTTGGCGTTGGGTGTGTACCAAGAGCTACAGCAGATGAAAAAGACCATGGCACTTGTCAAAGCATTCTTGTTAGACGCTGAGCAAAAGAAGCAGCAGAACAATGCCCTGAGTGAGTGGCTAAGACAGATAAGGCAGGTGTTTGCCCACGCGGAAGACATAGTCGACAACTTTGAATGCGAAGTGTTGCGGAATCACGTTGTCAGCTCTCATGGCAGCTTCTGCAGGAAGGTATGTCGTTTGTTTTCAACTAGTAATCCTGTGGTTTACCGTTACAGAATGGGGCGTGAGATAAAAGACATCAAGAAGCAGTTAGAGAAGGTTGCAACTGATGGCCACATGTTTGGTCTTCAAAGCAGTGACAAGGATACAAAGGTTTTGAATGCGAGGGAAATGACTCATTCACATGTGAATGTCTCAAATGTGGTAGGAAGAGAACATGATAAGCAGAAGATAATAGAGCTTTTGCTGCAAGATAATCATCATGACAGAAGTCTCTCAGTGATTTCCATTGTGGGATTTGGAGGCTTGGGAAAGACCACTCTCGCAAAGGTAGTGTTCAATGACACTAGCATTGAGGAATGTTTCACTTTGAAGATGTGGGTGTGTGTCTCTAATGATTTCGAACTTAGGAATGTGCTTATTAAAATCCTAAACTCTGCTCCTAACCCCACCAATGAGAAGTTCAAAAATTTAGACACGGATCAACTTCAAATTCGTTTGAGAAGTAGCCTTCAAAGTGAGAAGTTCTTGCTCGTCTTAGACGATGTGTGGAACGAGAATCGTATTAAATGGGATGAGTTGAAGGAAATCATAGAGATGGTAGGTAACAAAGGAAGTAAAATCTTGGTGACTACTCGTAGTCACTCAATAGATGCCATGATGCGCACTAAAACCTCTAACTCTTACATTCTAAAAGGCCTTTCTGAGGAGGATTCCATGTCTCTGTTTGTCAAATCTGCTTTTGATGATGGAGAAGGAAAAAACCATCCAGAGTTAATGGAGATTGGGAGACAAATTGTGAGAAAATGTGGAGGAATACCATTGGCGGTGAGAACCTTAGGAAGCTCACTGTTCTCAAGGGTGGACCGAAAAGAGTGGGAGAATATAAGAGACAATGAAATTTGGAACTTAAAACAAAATGAAAATGATATTTTGCCTGCTCTTGAGTTAAGTTATGATCAACTACCTTCGCATTTGAAACGATGTTTTGCTTGCTTTTCTCTTGCCTCGAAGGACTTTGATGTTTCTAGTTCTTACGTTGCTCTGCTGTGGGAGGCACTTGGTTTTCTTTCCCCACCAAAGCAAAATGAAACAACACATGATGTTGCTAATGAATATTTGCGTGAGCTATGGTCAAGATCTTTTCTCACAGATTTTCTTGACATGGGGAGCACATGCAGATTTAAATTACATGATTTAGTCCGTGATCTTGCAGTGTACGTAGCCAAAGGTGAGTTTCAAATATTGTATCCCCACAGTACAAGTATATCTGAGCATGCCCAACACTTGTCATTCATTGAAAATGATATGCTTGGCCAAGATCTCGTTCCCATGGGTGCAAGAACTATAATTTTTCCCATGGAAGCTACTAATGATGCTTTCTTGAATACGTTGGTATCCAGGTGCAAATACCTCAGAGTTCTAGACTTGAGTTATTCTGAATACGAGAGTTTGCCTAGCTGCATTGGAAAGTTGAAACATTTAAGATATCTCAATCTTTCAGGTAATAAAAAACTTAAGGGACTCCCAGATTCCTTATGCAAACTCCAAAATTTGCAAACTTTGGACCTAAGAGGTTGCATAAAGCTGCAAAATCTGCCCAAAGGAATAAGAAAGTTAGTCAGCCTTCGTCGGCTGCTTGTAACCACTAGGCAACCAGATTTTCCAGACAAAGAGATTTCAAAATTGGCTTGTATAGAAACAGTAGAACTCTATTCTTGTGATAATTTGGAGTCATTGTTCCAAGCTATACAACCTAGAAGTCTTAAGTTTTTGCATCTTTCTGGTTGTGGGGGTTTAAAGTCTCTGTCCTTTCATGTCATTACAAATTTAGAGAGTTTGGTTATCTTCAAATGCAGTAAGATGGAATTGTCAATGGGCCTTAGCAACCTTAATTCCATTCCTGATTCAAGGTTAAAATTACTTGTTCTTCAAAGTTTGCCACAGTTGGTCACTTTGCCTGAGTGGTTGCAAGGATCTGTGAACACACTGCATTCCTTGTTACTTGTTGACTGCAACAATCTTGAGGAGCTTCCTGAGTGGCTGTCAACTTTGACCTCTCTCAAACTACTTATAATTGAACATTGTCCAAGGTTGATCTCACTCCCTGATAGCACGCATCACCTACGAAACCTTGAACATTTGGAAATCAATGATTGTCCTGAATTATGCAAAAGATGTCAGCCAGGAGTTGGACTGGATTGGCACAAAATATCCCACATCAAAGAAGTTATCATTGGTGAACCAGAAGAGTAGAAGGAACTCTTGAATGACACAGTCAAAAAGTTTAAGGTATTAACTTTCGTTTTAACCACTTTCTTTTCTATTTTGAAAGAAAGGAATTTTCTGCTGTACATATAACTTTACATACGAACAATGTCCTGTAGATTTAATAAGTAGTTGGACTCATTAACATATGGAAAAAGGTTCTTTGACATGAATAACTACCATTTCACAACTATTTATGGGAATAAAATGGTCCTAACAAAAATAACCTTTTGCATTTAAAAAAAAAAAGAAAAGAACAAAGGATAGTATCAAATAAATGTAAAGAAATTGTTGGTGTCAAAGTGTCATTATTCAGTTATTGTTAAGCAAAGAAAACTTTAGCGATTAAAATTGAGATTAGAGATCACTGCATGATTCATGTTCAGTCTATCATAGATGATGTTAGTGATGTTATATGTATGTTTGTGTGAGATATCATAGGGTACTGTTAATTGTTAACAGATTTTTTTCACCAACTCAAAACTCGTGTCAGAGCAAACCTTGACATGTGTCTGGAGGCACCGAGACACTGATTTGATGGATCTTCTGTAACGCCACTTTGCTGTGTGAAGAATATACAAATTTCCTAGGTCGTTGCATTTGGTGATTTTCTGCATGCGTCGATATTGCTTAATAAATTTTGTATCATATAAAGACTAGAATAATTTTTCTTAATCAACCATTATTGAAAAGTTTATACTGATTCTTTGTTGTCATTAACGTTGAAAAAAGAACATTGGTTTAAATATGGAAGGAGGTGCATCTCAGTTTAGTTTTATATTTAAATTTTCTTTACTTTTTGAAATTTAACTCTGTTTATCTATGACTTCCAATTGATAATAAAGTCATATACATAATACAGCTTGTTTTTGAAGTTGGCATAACACTATGTGGAAAAACAGATTGTAAGTTCCTGGAATCTGTTTGAACTTTTGAGACATTAATTCTTGAGGACAGTAAAAAATGAATTAGATCCATTCTCATTCAGCATATTGTGAAGTTTGATTGCAGTGGTGGAAGATACTAAAAATATCATTTTAGATCCATTTCTTCTGTTCATGCTGCGGTTAGGAGTCAGTACACACATTATCTCTCAGTAAGTTCACTTCTGGGATTCTTTTCATATTCTAGTTGTGTTTCACTTTTGTTTATTTGACATGTCCTCCATTTCCAGATGATATATTAATTGAAAAAGGTGTTCTTCTGCCTCCTGAGGATCTAAGACTTTCAGTTTGGGAAGATTTTTAAAAAGGGTAATAACTTCTATCTACACCTTTCCTACTTCTAATTAGAACCTCCTTCTTCCTAATTCTCATATTTAAACAGCTGAACCTACATGATTTTCCTGTCTTGAGAAGCTTTAAAAATTTGACCTACAAACTCCAGCAGATTTCTTGCTGGAGGTGGTTGGGCTAAAGAAATTACCTGATGGACTTCACGCGGGTTCAAACATTGTAGTTTTGTGGCCTCCACAGTCATCCCCGATGAGGAAGAAAGGAACTGCCGCAACGCTTCGGATGAAATTGAAATGGAAAATCGATGAGCCACAGGGATGGAGAGGTAAAGCATCTCTGCATTCTCATCAAAGATTCACACTCACCAGATTGAGTCACCGAGTTTATTGTTGTGCATAAAACAACTCAAAATCTCTATGAGAAACAAACAACAGGATTTTATTTTTTGTTTCATTCTTGGTGATCACTGTTACATTTTTTATGTACACATTCTTTTTCTTTTTCTTATAGAACTTATGATTTTTTTCAAATCCAAAATATTACAAATTACTAACCAAAAATACATAGTTTTTTCTAGAGTCTTCCACTAATTTATCTCAATAAAAATGCTAACACGTCATTTTAATAATAATATTTAATTATTAAAAAAACATTACACATTTAATATAAATAACAGATAATTTAAAATATATAAATAAATATTATTACAAATATCCCGAATATGATTATAATATATATAACATCTCATTATAATAATAGTATTTAGTTATTAAAAATAACATTACCTATTTAATATAAAAAATAGATAACTCAAATAAATAAATATAAATATAAATATATATATATATATATAAAAGAATCTTATGTCATTCAGAATAATATTATACTGAGTCAAAAAGTATAATATTGTTTCTAAAAAATATATAGGAAATTTAAATCAAACAATCTATTATAAGCTTCAACATCATTTTCATACTGCATTAGATTTATTTGAATATTCTCATTTACTTACATGATAATTGCAAATAAGAAAAATAAATAGACAAACAAAAAAAACAAAGAGTAAGTAATATACAAAAAAGAGAAATCATACAACATTTATAAATGGATGTTAATACGTATAAACATTCGTATTCACAAATCCTAAGAGATGCAATTATTCACTCTAGACTTTCACACTAGACTTGAACATCTGATACATGTATTGACATCAGACTCTAGTGAGTTATACAATTGTCATGGCCTCTACTCATATATAGACTCATTGTCAATGGGTTTCACTCTACCACACACAAGGTTAACTTGTTTCCGTCTTAAGCCAAGGTAAAACCCCTAAATTAGGATCTCATGCTCCTATCACCATATATCCCACATTTTCATACTTGGGATTGGATAGTTATTAGAGCATCGGAATAACTCCCAATACGAAATCTATATATCAATACATGCACTACTTAAACCATCACAAGAAAATTCTCCTTGAAATTTCTTCCAACTACAACCATACATTCTTACAACCATACTAATAATCCATAATTCATATCAAACAAGCACCATATCCATAGTAAAACCATATCAAATAACTCAAGAAAAAAATAAAAAAAGTCACAAAAATACACATTACTGTTTAGAGTGACGCTCAGCGTCAGACCTCTTACAAAGGGTGGCGCTCAGTAACAAGTCTTGCTACTCACCGCCATTCCTCTCGCAAAAGGTCACGCTCAATGACACATATCTTCCGCTCAGCAAAAAGAAATTAAATAGCTCAAGACTTGCAATGAAAAGTGTCACGCAATGATGCCCTGCCACCGCTTAGCACTAAAGCATTCGCATTTTTGCATGACCAATGGTACAAGTTCAGCACTCAACGGTCTGAAGTAAAAATGCTTCTAGACCTTCACAATCAAGCTTGCGCTTTAACATCATACTAGTATCGGTCAGTGTCATACCAGAAAACAACAACTTCAATTATGTGATTTAGGGAACCAAAGACTTATTCAGATTATCAAATTGGTATTCCTAACTTAATTCTTAGTTCAAAAACATGTTTCAATGTCAAAATGCACACCAATTTACCGAAATGGTCCTATCCCCAGTCCCTTAGCTCAACACCAATTCAAAAAAATTACAAACTATATACAAATAATGCAACACATACACTTTACTAGCAAATCAACCACTAATTCAATCAATCTCAGACAAACTAAACATGCAATTTCATAATCTTCAACCATCAAAATTTTAAAACAAGGTAATTAACTATCCTTACCAGACAGATGACCAAACAATTCTAAGGGTCTTAAAACAATTCCAAACACATAGGAAGTTTTATCTGCTCATATAAATAATAGAAAAATGGATAGACTATGAAAAGAGTAAAAATCAACTTGCTCTTTTGCGGCAATTAATCGGATAAATTTAAATATTTTGTCTCAAGAATTACTCACAAAACGTTAGAATCTCTAAAGAGAGTAAAAAGTTTTAGAGAAAGAAGTTTAGAAAGATGATGTAATTTAAAATAATAAAACTCGTTTAGAAAAATTATATGTAAGTGAGTCTTTCTATTTAAAATACATTATAGAAATGATTTTCTAAGATATTGGAAAAATATATCTTTAAAACATCGTTTCATTCTCAATATATTAAAAAGGATGTGAATTTCCTTTGAAAGGAGAGGATGAGATCATATTTACTTACTAAGAAATGATAACATCTATGATAGTAGTATTGATATTATGGTCATAATAGAAATGGCAGGCAATCTATTAATATCATTATTACATTTATTAATACAATTATCATTTTAACATTTTCATTTGAAATGTCTTTCTCTCGTAATTATTAACTTATTAAAAAATTAATAGCTATTATAAAAGAAGTAAATTTTATTAATTAAATCTTAACTTTATATTATATTAAGTGTTTTGGAGTTTATCAAAAATAAATAATAATCTATAATATAGAGGATTGATTTTTTTAACTATTTTATAACTTTTTTTTATACACATTTTCTTCCTAATTTATCTTTATTCATATAAATCATTTTATTATTTTACCACTTAAATTTTATAACTATTGGTTTTAAAATTTAAGTAATCACCTATAATAAAATTATAAAATTTATTTATTTTATATCTTATTTTCTTAAATAATTATGATAAAAATAATTATTTTTATTATTATAATAAAGAAAAGATACACATGCATCTAAGTGCATTTGTTTTCAACAGTATATAGTAATAATAATTAACCATATAATTTATACTTTAAAACGTATACGTGAAGTTAAAATAATTATAGATTGTATTATAGAGTGCACTGACCGGAACCGCCTCTGATTCACCACAAGAAGACTTCGATCGGTTCAGATAACCGATGGATCTTACAGGCAAATCAGCATGTTGACACTAATAGTCAATTAATAAGTTTAATTACCATATCAAATGTGTATACGATATTAATGAATAATTAACGAGTTTTATTGTCTAAAAATATATTATATTAATGGATAACTAATGTGTTTGGTTTCTATGAAACCTACAAAAATATGAGAAAAATATATAGGTAAAGACATTTTTTCCATAATNTTTTTTTCAAATCCAAAATATTACAAATTACTAACCAAAAATACATAGTTTTTTCTAGAGTCTTCCACTAATTTATCTCAATAAAAATGCTAACACGTCATTTTAATAATAATATTTAATTATTAAAAAAACATTACACATTTAATATAAATAACAGATAATTTAAAATATATAAATAAATATTATTACAAATATCCCGAATATGATTATAATATATATAACATCTCATTATAATAATAGTATTTAGTTATTAAAAATAACATTACCTATTTAATATAAAAAATAGATAACTCAAATAAATAAATATAAATATAAATATATATATATATATATATATAAAAGAATCTTATGTCATTCAGAATAATATTATACTGAGTCAAAAAGTATAATATTGTTTCTAAAAAATATATAGGAAATTTAAATCAAACAATCTATTATAAGCTTCAACATCATTTTCATACTGCATTAGATTTATTTGAATATTCTCATTTACTTACATGATAATTGCAAATAAGAAAAATAAATAGACAAACAAAAAAAACAAAGAGTAAGTAATATACAAAAAAGAGAAATCATACAACATTTATAAATGGATGTTAATACGTATAAACATTCGTATTCACAAATCCTAAGAGATGCAATTATTCACTCTAGACTTTCACACTAGACTTGAACATCTGATACATGTATTGACATCAGACTCTAGTGAGTTATACAATTGTCATGGCCTCTACTCATATATAGACTCATTGTCAATGGGTTTCACTCTACCACACACAAGGTTAACTTGTTTCCGTCTTAAGCCAAGGTAAAACCCCTAAATTAGGATCTCATGCTCCTATCACCATATATCCCACATTTTCATACTTGGGATTGGATAGTTATTAGAGCATCGGAATAACTCCCAATACGAAATCTATATATCAATACATGCACTACTTAAACCATCACAAGAAAATTCTCCTTGAAATTTCTTCCAACTACAACCATACATTCTTACAACCATACTAATAATCCATAATTCATATCAAACAAGCACCATATCCATAGTAAAACCATATCAAATAACTCAAGAAAAAAATAAAAAAAGTCACAAAAATACACATTACTGTTTAGAGTGACGCTCAGCGTCAGACCTCTTACAAAGGGTGGCGCTCAGTAACAAGTCTTGCTACTCACCGCCATTCCTCTCGCAAAAGGTCACGCTCAATGACACATATCTTCCGCTCAGCAAAAAGAAATTAAATAGCTCAAGACTTGCAATGAAAAGTGTCACGCAATGATGCCCTGCCACCGCTTAGCACTAAAGCATTCGCATTTTTGCATGACCAATGGTACAAGTTCAGCACTCAACGGTCTGAAGTAAAAATGCTTCTAGACCTTCACAATCAAGCTTGCGCTTTAACATCATACTAGTATCGGTCAGTGTCATACCAGAAAACAACAACTTCAATTATGTGATTTAGGGAACCAAAGACTTATTCAGATTATCAAATTGGTATTCCTAACTTAATTCTTAGTTCAAAAACATGTTTCAATGTCAAAATGCACACCAATTTACCGAAATGGTCCTATCCCCAGTCCCTTAGCTCAACACCAATTCAAAAA